ACCCAACAGGTATTTGATGAATGAAGGGCAAAAAATGAACACTGGGGTAACTCTGAGATGGTAACTACGGGAAGCAGCTACCAGTCCTAGTGTGTGAACAGACGGAAGAAGAGAGTGTTAGAAGCTGGAAGGTGGCTGGAGGAGCCTCTGGAGCTGAGGCTCAGGAGTGGGAGAAGAGGTTGCTCTCCAGCTGGTGCTGATGAATCAGATCCTTAGAGGGCCCCCATGGAGCTGGACCTCAGTACTGGCTGGTGCTGGTATTTTTGAAGAATGGCAATAATGCTGGTTCTGAGAGTGTGGGGAAAAAAACCTAGAAACAACAGCTGCCAGAACAAACTGCTGCTGCCAGGTACAATACCGTGGTTGGGAAGACACCGATAGGGCAGCTAACAGGACAAGTCCCTTTCCTCTTCCAATGTAAGTGTCCCTCTGGTGTCTCCTACTAGCAAAACTTAGCAGGGAGCAGCCAACGAAAGAGAAGTATTTGCTTAGTCACAGAATCACAAAAAAAAAGAATATGGGAGGGTGGGTTTGGAGCTGAGAGATAATAACTTAGTAATCTGTATATCCGTATAACTGTGCACCATGAAGCAGTGAAAACAGTGCACCATAAAGCAGTGAAAGTGGATGAAATAGAGCAATGCTCTTTTACATGGACTAAGCTCAGGATGTTGAGTATAAAAATAAGAAACATGCAAAATGTGAATAATTTACCATATATAGAATACACGTTTGAAAAAGATGCAGAATTGTACTAAGTAGGATTGTGTATGTATATAGAAATCATGGGAATAATCTGTCACTATCTTAGGAGAGGGAGTTCCTCAGGGGTAAGGGGATGGGAACAAGAAGAGACATGCTGGGGCTGGGACACAGAGGCTTCTGCTCTATCCATATTGTCTTATTGCATAAGCTGGGCTGTGGGTCCATGGGTGATTGCTATGCAAAACAATCTGTGTGTCAGAAACATCTGCAGAAATAAAATGTTTAAATAACTTGGAATATGCATTTTTTCTTTTTTTGAGAAAGAGTGTCACTCTGTTGTCCAACCTGGAGTGTAGTGGCAGGATCTAAGCTCATTGCAACCTCTGCCTCCCGGGTTCAAGAGATCCACCCACCTCAGCCTCCCAAGCAGTTGGGACTACAGGTTCCCACCACCACACCCAGCTCATTTTTGTACTTTTAATAGAGATAGGGTTTCACCATGTTGGCCAGGCTGGTCTTGAACTCCTGACCTCAAGTAATCCACCCACCTCAGCCTCCCAAAGTGCTGGGATTACAGGTGTGAGCCACCACGCCCGGCTGAGTTTTATTTTATATGATTGTTAGTTGCATAAATATCTTCTTTCAAGAAGTGTCTGTTCATGCCCTTTGCCCACTTTTTAATGGGTTTGTTCATTTTTTTTTCTTGTGGAATAAAATGTTCCTTGTAGATTCCAGATACTGGACATTTGTCAGACGGATAGATTGAAAAACAATTTTTTTTTTTTTGAGATGGAGTCTAGCTTTGTTGCCAGGCTGGAGTACAGTGACACAATCTCAGCTCACTGCCACCTCCGCCTGCTGGGTTCAAGCTATTCTCCTGCTTCAGCCTCTCGAGTAACTGGGATTACAGGCGTGCGCCACCACACCCAGATAATTTTTTTTTTTTTTGTAGAAACAGGGTTTCACTATGTTACCCAGGATGGTCTCGATCTCCTGACCTCGTGATTCACCTGCCTCGGCCTCCCCAAGTGCTGGGATTACAGGCATAAGCCACCGCGCCCAGTCTGATTGCAAAATTTTTGTTTAAGTTCCTTGTAGATTCTGGATATTGAACCTTTGTCAGAAGGCTAGATTGCAAAAATTTTCTTCCATTCCACGGTTTGTCTGTTCACTCTGATGACAGCTTCTTTGCTGTGAAGAAGCTCTTCAGTTTAATTAGATTCCATTTGCCAATTTTTGCTTTTGTTGCAATTGCTTTTGGTGTTTTTGTCATGAAATCTTTGTTCATGCCTATGTTCTGAATGGTATCGTCTAGATTTTCTTCTAGGGTTTTTATAGTTTTGGGTTTTACATCTAAGTTGTCAATCCATCTTCAGTTAATTTTTGTATAAGGTATAAGGAAAGGGTCCAGTTTCCATTGTCTGCATGTGGCTAGCCAGTTTTCCCAGAACCATTTATTAAATAGGGAATCCTTTCCCCATTGCTTCTTTTTGTCCAGTTTGTCGAAGATCAGATGGTTGTAGATGTGCAGTATTTTTTTAATTCACTTCTGAAATGCAAAATGCAAAGTAACAAGGAAGCAAAGGTTTATAACATAACTGATCAAAGCTTTTAGCAGGGTTGTTCAATCCATATTGAAACAAAATAAGATGTCACAGAATTCTTGAAGACAGGTAAATTGAAATTAGTCAGTTCACTCTCGTTATTTTTCTCCTTTGACTTAGCTTCACGTGGTCTAGAAATTCTCAAAAAAATTGTTTTTTTGTTTTTTTGTTTTTTTTTTTTTGACACAAGATCTTGCTTTTTTGTCCAGGCTGGAGTGCAGTGGTGCGATCACAGCTCACTGCAGTTTTGACCTCAGAGGCTCAAGTGATCCTCCCACCTCAGCCTCCCAAGTAGCTGAGAACACAGCCACACACCACCACACCTGGCTGGCTTTTTGTATTTTTGGTACAGACAGGGTTTTACCATGTTGCTCAGGCTGGTCTTGAACTCCTGAGCTCAAGCAATCCTCCTGCCTCAGTTTCCCAAAGTATCAGGATTACAGGCATGTTTTCTTTCCCATTCCAAGTACTTCATTTGCATACTCAAGAAATCCTCTTCACAGTTGTCCCTGTTTCTTTATCCAAATGTCTTCTCAGGAATGCGTTCATTGGAAGTAACTGTGTGTGGCTCAGTGTAAGTGTGTGAGTGTGGGTGTGGGTGTAATAACCATATTGATCTAAGCAGGCATCCAGTCTCAGATGTCTTTTAGAACATTATCACCTATGGACTCTCTTGGAATGATGGTCAGAATGGAGTTATAAATGTAAAAAGAATTTGGGAAAGAGGCTAAAACAGAAAGAATGCTGCCAGAAATCACCTGTACAGAGCAATGAGCTGACACTATGAAGATAGGTCAAAATGCAAAGAAAGTAGGAAGTAGGAGCAGTGCAATTGCAAAGCAGGTTGTGAGCATATCACAAAAATTATGGAAATAGATCATATCAAAGGGAGCAATGTCACAGAGTGGCAAAGGGAACAAAGAGAATGCATTGACCACTGTCTCAGTACTTAGTGCTTGGGATGTAGTAGGTGATCAATGCTTCCTGAATGAATGAAAGAAGGCTAAGTAGTGAGTCCTGAGAGAAGGCGGCTGCTGAGCCTGTGACTTTGTAATACAGGAGGCTGTAACCAGGAAGTTGTAAGAGAACATTTCAGGAAAAAAATCTAATGAAAGAAAATAGCAGAAAATAAGAGCTTTGTTTATTATTTGCAGAACCACAAGGGACTCAAGAACTAACATGAAATTTTAAAATGGGATGAAAGATAGTTATCAAAGAAGTATTAAGGCTAAATGAAACTATGCTTGGGTTGTCTGATAAAATAAAATGTATGTGAGAAACCACTGCGGAGATGGGCTAAAATGTGCAATTTTGCAGTAGAGCATTAAGTGCTCTTTAATTTCCTTGGCACTTGGTGCTTTTGTTTTTTGTTTTTGTTTTTGTTTTTAACAAACTGAGGTACAGCTGACAGCTCCAAGCTTGGATCAGAACTGCCCCTTTCTGTGAAAGGAGCTCCTTGCTTGTATCTTACTCAAACCAGTTGGTTTAAGGTCAGCTGTTGATTTTCAATCAACATCTAAACTTCTACAAGTGAAACATCATTGCCCAAGAGCCAAAATACATGCTGCAAAACCACTGCACAACATCTATCTTCCTCAAGCAAAACTTGGCAAATCTTAAATGTCCCATACTTCATGAAAAGAAAAAAAAGCCAGGAGTGGTGGCTCATGCCTGTCATCCCAGCACATCGGGAGGCCAAGGTGGGTGGATCACCTGAGGTCAGAAGATCGAGACCAGCCTAGCCAACATGACAAAACCCCATCTCTACTAAAAATACAAAAATTAGCTAGGCATGGTGATGGGTGCCTGTAATTCCAGCTACTTGGGAGGCTGAGGCAGGAGAATCACCTGAACCCAGGAGGCGGAGGTTGCAGTGAGCTGAACCCCTGCCATTGCACTCCAGCCTGGGTGACAGAGTGAGATTCTGTCTCAAAAAAAAGGAAAAGAAAAAAAAGAAAAGAAAAAAGAACATAAAACTTTTATGATTATACGATTTGGGCTATATACACAAATGCACATTCATTACAGCTTTAAAACTACCATCTTTGATGTCCCAGTGCTGAACATAGGGAATATGTATGCTCTTCTCAAAATTAAATACAAAATGTGGCTTAACTTCCATATCCCTTCTCTTAATAGTAACCACTAGATTATAAAAGGAATCTTATTTTCTAGTGTATTTTAGTAGAATATTAAAATCAAATCCATATGTGGGTTTATGACAATATGTAAAAACAAAAGATAAATGCTTCAATTATGATCTTTTAATGTAAAAGTATTGAACTTAAAAATACTTTGGGACATAAAAATCAGAAAATAAATCTGAAAATTCAAAATCATTTATTTAATCTTAAGAGTATCTGAATTAAATGACCAATAACAAATATACTATTATACTTCAAGTAGCATGGAATATATGTATTTTGTAAAAAGTCAACCGAATGCTGAAAATAGTGTAACTTTTAACTGTCATGGTCTTTGTGTTATGAGATTTCTGCCTGCTAAATTATGCCATAGCCTTAAGGGAGGACAGTTGGGGCTATGAGTGCCCTGGGTCAGGTCTCCTTTGATATGAACTTGGAATAGCCGTCAATTCTTCTAGCACTCAAAGCTACATTCACTGTAGAAATAAATGTCAACATTGCCTCTTGATTGGAAAGTAAATCTCCTGATAAACATTAGCACAGAAAACTAGGTGAATTCAAATTGTCTTTAATGTCAAACAGAATTCAGTCATAAACCTCTAAATTCCCATCATTACTATTCTCTTCAAGGGCACAGCTATGTTTGCCATGGCCCTGAAACTCCTCACTCTTCACCCTCCCATACATACAAACCCACACAAAGTCTCAAGCAAATGAGGCTGGAACTGCGGTCTGATCTTCATTTATCTGACCCAAACACCCAGGCTCTTTCCATTGTTCCACACTGCAACATTTCAGAGTAGCCAAAAAAAATGGACAACATTATCATAAAACTTAAAAAACAATTATTGATGAGAAAAAATATTTAGAACTCACTGGTCTATACTACTGAAATAGCACTTCAAAATTTCTTAGTAAACTTGGGAAGCTGATAAGCACATTTAGCCAAGTATATGATGCAGAAACTGAATGATAGACATGCCCTATACCAATACAATATTTTGCAAAGCTATGATCATTAGTAATATGAATATTAACAGGTAAGTTATTGCTGAATTGCTGGTCCCACTTGAGCTGTAAAATGAGTCCTTTGTGTACCACCTCCCAAAGAGGGATACTGTTAGTATAGGCCCAGATGATCCATTCTTGTTTACCAAACGCCCATCTTTCAGCACCTAAAGAAAAGGTGGGAAAAGTACAGTCAGCTTTCTTAACATACAAGTTAAAAGCAAAGTAATCATTTTGAAACCATCCTAGATATAATATATAGTCAAGTCATTCCTGATTGAGGAGGATGCAGCAAGTAAACCAGGCAGGGGACAGCCACTTACTATATAATGAAGACTAGAGCAATTCGAGAGGGCCCAAGATTTTAGTTTCAACAATCAAATGTAACCATTAATGGAAAGTCAAAATCAGCAGCAGCAATTCATTGAGTTCAATTATGTGCAAGACAATCAGGAACCAGAGAGTTATACATCACATCCTTCCCTCAAGAAGTTTAAGAGCTAATGGTGAAATGGAGTGGATTCTAAACATAAAGAGAGAAATCAGTTTATCAGTTTATCAGAGAAGACAACAGGTAAGTGCTTAGGAGGTCTGAGAAGGAAAAACTGAACTGGTCTATTTCACAGAGTGGGACATAAGCTACCAGAAACCCAAGCAGTTAGGAATCTCTTTCTAGGGCTGTATGGTGAAGACATTGTGGGGAGTGGACATTGAATCAGCAAAGGCTCATTCTGAGACAGAAGTGTGTGTGACAGGTCAAGGCAATGTGAGTTCTCATTCTAGGTTGGTTAGAACCGGTGGTGTGCTAGAGCTAGTGGTGCACAGGCTCATGAGAACAGATTGTTAAAGTTTCAAGAAATTTGACAGCTGGCTTTTAAACACAGCTACTTTCCCCTCTTCCCCCGCTTTTTTGAGATGGAGTCTTGCTCTGTCACCCAGGCTGGAGTGCAGCGGCACGATCTTGGCTCACTGCCAGCTCCACCTCCTGAGTTCAAGTGATTCTCCTGCCTCAGCCTCCCCGGTAGCTGGGATTACAGGGGTGTGCCACCAAGTCCAGCTAATTTTTGTATTTTTAGTAGAGACAGGTCTTCACCATGTTAACCAGGTTGGTCTCCAACTCCTGGCCTCAAATGATCCTCCCAACTCGGCCCCCCAAAGTGCTGGCATTACAGGCATGAGTTATCAAGCTCTGCCAACAGATCCATTCTTGAAGCTGATCATGGTGGGAATATTGACACAATGAAAATTGGCAAATTCCATAAATCAGGGCTTTTTGTTTTCTACCTCAGGGAAGGAATTGTTAAAAGTTACATCACACCACTAGCTAGAGCTGAAGATTAGTGAAGAAGAGAAGAAGGAATATGGTCAGAGGAAGGTGGAGATCAGACTGTGAAAGGCATGAATGACTAGATCTAGCCTGAAGCCACAGTGGAGTCTTCGTAAGAGAAGAATGTGTACAAAGCAATTGAACAAGAGTAGAAGGAAACATGAATAGACAGTCAATAAACAGAAAAGAATAAAAGAAAATGAACCTGTTAGTTGCAGAAATGGAGTTGGAATGGAGAAGAAATTGAAAATTGGGAAATTGGTTGGAGTGGAGAAGAAATTGAAAATTGGGAAAATAGATGCTTTATAACTGGAAGAAGAAAATGACTAAATATCCTAGAAGATAACGATTGTGCTTTACTGTTCACAAAGTGCCGTCACATGCATTATCATATTTGATCCTCACCAAACCAGTCAGGAAAATATTCTCTTCTATGAGTAGGAAATTCAGGGGTTAAGTGACTTTCCCAAGGTTATCTAACTAGTTAGTTACAGAGAACAGACTCTGCCAGTGCTTCTGATAATACACCAGAGTTGCTTAAGGTGCTAAAGCAAGATGTTTCCACATTTGTGGGCATGGTCAGTAACACCACCCTTTTTACATAAAACTAAAGTGGTGGTGGGGGTTGAGGATATGCAATAAGTGTGTTGAAATCTCTGCCATAGTGATCCTCTAAGATAATGTGTAAATATTTACGGACAGAGTGTGCATCCATCAACAGAACTGAGAAACTACTCAAGAAGCCATAGTGAGCATAACTGATGTAAAACACTTGCCATCTTCAATATTATGACTGCTCTCTCTAGAAACAACATATTCACAGAAGGGCCATGCCCTTCAAGGTCTCTAGAGAAAAGAAGCACTAAAAAACCCAAGAATGGGTTATTGGACTTTCTGGCTCTTTTTGAGAAAAGTAGGCACCTTAATCCTACATGGTCTTTAGATCACCATCCCTAAAGAGGAGAAACACATTGCCTCAGGCTTCCGTGGCTTCTTGGAAATCTTTTCCAAAAATGCCCAACTCCTTTTGTTTTAATTCTGCGCTCACAAAACAAACGGATCTATCATTTGTACTTTCGAGGGTATTTGCCAATGAAGAGTCTCCTTGACATACAGTTCGTTGTTCCCAGCTAAGGGAATCTATTTTTTTAAATAACAAGTTGGTGTTCTAGCTTATCTATCTTGCAAGTTTGATTAGTATCTGTTCCTTAGAACCTGATAAACTTCAGTGAAAGTCATGCCACAGAGAATCTACACTTGTAAAATAAAGACTTGCCTCACCCTCACCATGATGCTCCCTCCAAGGGACTGCAATTCCAAAGACCCTCCCTGCCAGCTGTCACATGCCTCTTTCATCTCTTTTTTGGTGTAATACAATCTATATCTCATTTCTTTCTTCTGCAAATGGGCTGGAGCAGGTGAGACGAGATCCAAATGATGATCATAGGTGCCCAGTTTAAATGGTAGGTTCTATGCCCCCCTTCCCTCCTTTCTTCCATTCAAGAAAGAGCCAGAGATGGGATACAACATGACAAGTTCACAGAATCATTAAAAGTTGAGACCTACTGATACCACACTTACCCTGATGTAATAATTACACATTGCATGTCTGTATCAAAATATCTCCTGTAACTCATAAATATATACACCTACTGTGTACCCAAAAAACTAAAAACAAGGCTGGGCATGCCTGTAATTCCAGAACTTTGGGAGGTTGAGGTGGCAGATCACTCGAGGTAAGGAGTTTGAGACCAGCCTGGCCAATGTGGTGAAATCCCATCTCCACTAAAAATACAAAAATTAGCTGGGCGTGGTGGCATGCACCTGTAGTCCCAGCTACTTATGAGACTGAGGCAGGAGAATCGCTTGAACCCGGGAGGCAGAGGCTGCAGTGAGCCGAGAATGCACCACTGCACTCCAGCCAGGGCGACACAGCGAGACTCCATCTCAAATAATAATAATAATAATTAAAAATAATAAAATTACATTTTTTTAAGAGTTGAGATGTACAAATACTATGGAGTTAAGCACTTAAATGTGTATTCTCTTGTATCATTCTCTAACTCTTCTTAACTTCCTGAAGCCATTTGGGATGAAATTTTTAAAAGAAAGGAAGTAGCTATGGAATACATTATTTACGTTCTCCAACTCCTCATGCACTATCACCATCCACCTTCAAACACTTATGTGGTTCAGAGTAAGAGTGAAATCATATTTCTGGCTTTGGATCTTTAAAACCTAGTTTGGAAAACTCTAGCATTTTTTGTCCTTCTCCCATGGATGAAGTAGTTTCATCAGGTGAATGTTCAGTCCTACTTTGGGACAATTCCTCGAAGAGAAAGAGTTCTGTGAGTACAAGACATGGAAAAAGTGTCAAAGTAGTACCAGAAAATTAGATTGTGTGCTCAGTTTACATGTTCAGGCTTACAGGATATAATGCATCAATATTGCTAGACCCTATGTCCTCCTAAGTTTACCTTGGTGACCCTGATTTCCCTCTCTCATTTCCTTTAAGTGACCTCAGGTAGACGTTTATGTCAGTCCAGCCACCTTTTAGCTACTGGATTTTAGCCCAAGACTCCTTGCTGTAGATCTAATCATGATTTTCTGTAGTTGGTACTTTAGCTTTTATTCCAGCCTCAATTTCCTCATGAGATTCTACCTAAACAGGTTCTATGGCAGCAAAGGATTCCTGGTCTTTGGATTTTACAGCCTTAAGGCTATACCATATGTTAAATTGTTGGTTTCACAGAATTAAGTATTTTTGTAAGTATGATATATTCCACTCTGATAACACAGCAGATACAGATACATGACCATAAGCAATCTGCAATTTTAAAGACTTCGTTACTTGATGCCTTGATGGAATTAACTTGGACCCTATTTTATAGACCATGCAATGATTTCACCCTAGTTACTGAAACCCAGCCACTGTTTACCACAATTCAGAGAAAACATTAATATTCGAACCACTGGAGTTTGTGTATATATGCATGTATGTGAGTGTGTGCAAGTGTTGTACATTAACAGATATAAGTCTGCAGAGTCATAATTCTTATTTGAAGCCAGCTTAATTTGTGAATTAATTAGCTACAGTCACTATAATTTGTGAACAAATGCTGGATGCAGTGGTGCATGCCTTTAAGTCTTAGCTACTCAGGAGGCTGAGGCAGGAGGACTGCTTGAGCCCAGGAGTTTGAGGCTTCAGTGAGCTATGATCATGCCACTGCAGTCTAACCTGAGTGACAGAGGAAGACCCTGTTTCAAAATAAAAATGTGAAATAAATATTTGATTTTCTGTTTGTCTTCACATGTAACAAAAGGAAATTAAAAATCTATAAATAAACATTCTTCAGTGAATGGTATCTCAAACTCACAGTTCTAGGTATGTTCTTTATTATGTTCTTCCAATGAAGTGTCATCATTTTATAATTAGTTGTTATAAATTGAAAAAAATGATCACAATATTTTCCCCTCCTTGACCCATGTCCTTTCGCCACGTGATTTTATAGCTCTTCCCATTGAGAGGTCTGAGTCCTTTATTTCCCTACCGCTTGAATCAACTTTGCTCATGTAACTTCCTGCATTGATGCAACATTTGCAAACACGGTGCAAGCAGAGACTTGCAAAGAACTTGCCCATTGTGGTTTTTTTCTCTTGATGCTTCTGGACTCATTAAGCTAACATGTGAACAAGCTCAGGTTTGCTGAAAGATGAGAGACCACAGGGAGAGATGGCCTTAATAATCCCAGCTGTCCAAGACAAGGTAATCACAAACTGATCAGTGCTAGTCAACCCACTAGCCCACTAGCCAATGGCAGACATAACGAGCCCAGCCAGCATCAACTGAGCCTATCTCAGACCAGAAAAACAGCCTAGCTACACCAAGTTCAAATTGCCAACCCACAGAATCAGGGCTAAAGAAATGGTTTTGAGGAAATTTGTTACACAGCGGAAGTTAACCAGCAGAGTGGCTATAGCTTGTTTTACTTGACTTCAGAGAACATATAAAATGAAAATACTCTTATAAAAGTCCTCTTACTTCAAATTTTCCAGGTGACAGATGAATTTCGGTAAGTAGCACTTCAGGAAAAACATACTTTGTTCCAAATGTGCCACTGAGGGAGAACATTTCAAATCTTGTAGAAGCAGTTTCTACTGGCTGTCCACAAGTTGTCAAATTAGTAGTTTTGCACTTCAGCATTGTGCAAACCTATGTGGAACAAACGCAGATAAAACACAATGCCTTACATTGAAGTTACTTGTACCAGAAATGTTACCTTAGTTTTTAACCACGCTAAGCAAACATTATCTTTCTCTGAAAAGGGATTTGGATCATGTTTCTTATAATTAACTACTTTATTAAAAATGGCAAGTGATTTGAGAATCAACCTACTTCCTAGATAACAAGTGGATTAAGAGAAAGAAGTCAGTTTAGAATTAAACTATTAATTTGGTATGTCAGATGATGGCACTGAGCTCAATGAAGTGGAGGTCTTTGGGCAACAATAGTACTGAAGCTGAAAGGATATTAAATTTTTTCCACCCCTGAATCTCACCTCTCTTTTTAATCCTTTTCTTTAGAAGAAGGCAGTGGGCACGGAGTATAATAGGAAAATACAAATTCAGAGCCAACATTCTATAAAACGTTTTCATCTTTAAAATTTGTCATTTGAAAGCAATACAAGGCCAGATGTGGTGGTTCACACATGTTATCCCAGCACTTTGGGAGGCCAAGGCAGTCGGATCACCAGAGGTGAGGAGTTCGAGACCAGCCTGGCCAACATGGTGAAACCCCGTCTCTACTAAAAATAGATCCAGGTATGGTGGCATATGCCTATAGTCCCAGCTACTCAGGAGGCTGAGGCAAGAGAATCGCTTGAACCTGGAAGGCAGAGGTTGCAGTAAGCTGAGATCATGCTACTACACTCCAGCGTGGTGACAGAGGGAGACTCTGTCTCAAAAAAAAAAAAAAAGAAAGAAAGAAAGAAAGCTGTACAAAAACTAGGATATCTGATTAGAAGAGAAACTAAGATAAAAGTAGTATCCCTATTTACTGTTAGTTTTGCAAGTGAAAATAAAACTGTTCATAATTTAGATATGTTGGCAAGCCCAGTTAAGGAAGTCTTCCTCATGTTCACCACAATAGGCTGGTTTATTTGTCAAATAGAAAGTCATCAAGGTTTGGTTAATAATTTTTTAAATATGCTAAAAGCAAGCAATAAGATTATACTTAATTCCCATTGCAAATATTTTATCCTAGTGTATGTATGTGTATAAATGCACCTGTGTGTGTGTGTGTGTGTGTGTGTGGTCATCAATGCATGGAGTCAAGCCAAGGAAAAGCACCTGGTTTTCTGGAACAAATATAAAAAGTTGACCTGGAATTTACCTTTCACTTGAACTCCCTTTCATTTGAACTGAGATTACCTGCCAGTACTCTCTTCTCCTTCGGCCATGCAATCCTGTGAAAGCTCCTAGAACGTACACTTCATTCGCTTCTTTTTGTAACATTCTGTAGCTTAAATGACAGCAAAGCTCCTTTTGACAGACTGTAAGATTTCCTGCATTTTCAAAAAGTTCTGTGAAGTTGAACCCGTCCCGGGAAATAAATCCCCTAAAAGTGCTTTTCTGTACTGGAAATGGTTTGATGGTGGTGGCATAGGCACTCCAATTCACAGCTGTTGGGGGGGCAAGCGAGGATAGGGGGTGTGAATCCACGTCCGAAAGGAGGAGTTTTCCCGACTCTGTCTTCATGTCATAATGATACACTTTGGAACCGTTTGGTGTGTAAATACCACTTCCTGTGAATGAAAGACAGGTCTTCTAAAAACAACACACACAAAAAAACCAACACTGCCAATTTCCCCATCAGAACTGAGCATGTGGTCACGCCACCATATTAGTCACAATGAGAGAGCATGCGTACTTCTAATCACACTGAACACCTAACTACTTCTATTCTCTATTGGAAGAGATTAAAACAAACATTCCTTGGTCTCATCTCAATTAAACCTTAAATATAATCGCATTATTTATTAGCATTATGGAAAATTAAACCAACTACAAAAATCTTTGTAGTCAGGAGTTCCTGAAAGGTGGGGAAAGGGAACAAAAATTCTCCCCTGTTCCTCATTGTGGTGGTTTTCAAATATATCCAAAAATTCCTTAACACTCTTCTTTCCGGTGGGAGGATCTAATTCCTTTCCCCTTGAATGTGGGCTGGACTTAGTGACTCACTTCCATTGAACAGAACATGGCAGAAGTGATGGTGGGTAACTAGTCATAAACAGCAATGTGGCTTCCTCCCTTTTCTCTCTTGTCCCCTCTCTTTAATTGCTCTAGGGGAAGACAGCAGCCATGTCATGAGGATATGCCATGCAGCCCCATGAGGAGGCAAAGGGAAAGATGCAGAGGCTTCCATGGCCACTGAGGAAAGTAGAAGCTGGGTAGCGTTTGGCAAATTACTTGCACTCTCTGTATCTCAATTTTCTCATCTGCAAAATTGGGATGACACTAACTATCTCATGTAATTATTATAATAATTAAATGAATAATACACATAAAGGTCTTAGTATAACCGTAGGTTATAATCAACTGCTAGCTTTTTTTTTCTATTGTGAAACGATGACAAACACAGTAAGGAGTTCAGACAAAGAAGCAAAAAATTAATACAGGTCATATCTGAGGCATTCATTTCTCTGCACTTAAAAATAGAAGATGAAACCTAACCTGGTCATGAATTACCTGTCATATTTAGGCTGACACGATGTATATTGGCCGCAAGAAGATTAACTCCCATTCCCATTGCCCAAGCTGAATGGAATTCAATAGCTGTCAAAAGGGGCAAAACATTCATCCAGGCTGTGGGAAACAGTATGGTGTCCACATGGAAATCTTTCACCAGGGTAACAGCGGGATCATAGAAGAGTATATCAAAGCACGTGAAAATGCCAAATCTTCCAAATGTGGTGTTGAAAGTCACCAACTCCGGCTTTTCAGGGACATCAAACTGAGGCTCAGAGTACAGGTGGTACTACAACAAATGGATAGGAGAAAACTAGTAAAGCCTTGTTTGTTGAAGAGATGACTCATAAAAACCCTCCAAGTTGGTAATAAATTTGGCTATGGTCAACTGCAGGGAATCTCCTAGGAAGTGGATAAATCTGGCAATTGGAAGGAAATTTCTAAGGAAAATTGTGGAGGAATATGTAACATATGTCTATAGCATCTCTCTCATCTCCTCTCTCTCCTTTCTCTCTCTGTCCGTCTCTCTCAGTTAAGAGCAAAATACCGCCCCATAAACCCCAAAGTATATAAGCTTCTTTTTGTTTTATGTTATTTTGTTTTGTTTTTCTGAGATGGAGTTTTGCTCTATCACCCAGGATGGAGTACTGTGGCATGATTTCGGCTCACTGCAACCTCCATCTCCTGGGTTCAAACGATTCTCCTGCATCAGCCTCCCGAGTAGCTGGGGTTACAGGCATATGCCACCATGCCCAGTTAATTTTTTTGTATTTTTAATGGAGACGGGGTTTCACCGTGTCAGCCAGGATGATCTTGATCTCCTGACCTCATGATCTGCCCACCTGGGCCTCCTAAAGTGCTGGGATTACAGGCATGAGCCACCACGCCGGCCCTATAAGCTTCTTAAAGGTTAAAAAACATGCATTATTCTTCTTTGAATCCTTGGTACCTAGAAATGTAATATTAATAGATGCATAATAAATATCTATGAGTCAGGTTAAAGATGCCATCTCTCTCTTTAGTGTCCCATCCAAACTAATCTCAGTGACTCTTACCCACCTTTCAAAATTACCATAGAAAAGAAATGTATTTAATTCCCCTGATTCCTTCCAGGTAAACTAAAAAAAAATTTAGTCTAATATAATAATTTGGGTCAACAGTTAATAAAATGGTCTGCAATCTAGGAAATGCTGAGGGTTCAGAAAGAGACTATTAAAACCTCTCTAAATTTATTTTATATCTAAAAAATAGAAAAGAAATTGAACTTTACTATTATTTTAAGAATTGACAGGCCAGGCGAGGTGGCTCATGCCTGTAATCCCAGCACTTTGGGAGGCCAAGGCAGGCAGATCACTTGAGGCCAGGAGCTCAAGATCAGCCTGGCCAACATGGTGAAACCCCGTCTCTACTAAAAAATCCAAAACTTAGCCGGGTGTGGTGGTGTGCACCTGTAATCCCAGCTACTCAGGAGGCTGAGGCAGGAGAATTGGTTGAATCTGGGAGTCAGAGGCTGCAGTGAGCTGAGATTGTGCCCCGCACTCCAGCCCGAGTGACAGAGCCGGACTCTGCCTCAAAAAAAAAAAAAAAAAAAGAATTGATTGAAAAAGATATTCTCATTAGATTCATATATGTCAGAGGTCATAGGTTACAAACGGTGCCTGAGGTATCCTCATGGAAGAGAGAGAGCCTCTCAACTTAGACAGGTGACTGCAGGTTCCTTGCTAGTTTGTCCACATTCAGTGCACTGTGCCATCCTGCCACGATAAGAATAGCTCAAGAACTGCGAACTGAAGAATAAGGGCGGTGCTCAAGCCTGTATCCCAGCACTTTGGAGCCATCCGAGTCAAGATCGGACATTGGTAACACGTGAAGTCCACTAAAAATACAAAAACTAGCCGCCGAGTGGCGACGCTGTAGTCCAGCTACAGCGGAGCAAAATGGCGTGAACCGGGAGGCGGAGTTGAGGAGCTGAGATCGGCACTGCACTCCAGCTGGTGACACCAGACTCCGTCTCAAAAAAAAAAAAAAAAAAAAAAAAGGAAAGATAATACAAACAATGCAAACAATCTCCCAAGCAAGAAAATGGAAGTAGTGACATTTCTATTTTTACTATGAGACACATTTTAAGAAGAAAGTGAAGTGCAGTGATATATATGAAAAGAAGTTGTCAAAATCCACAAAATGATGAAGAAAGCATTTTGAAATTGTTGTGCTTTATAAATACACACACAAGAATACATATATTGAGGACTTATGTTAACAATTTTTTCCAGTGGGGGTCCATGATCAAAATAATTTGAAAACCATTGGTTTAACATCGCTCCTCTTAATTAATATTTATATTTTAACTGAGACTGCCAGGAGATAATTTCTCCACTCCAAAGATTCTGAGGCTACAATTTAAGATGCTTAGAAAACATCTGGGAGTGGAGAAGGGACATTCACACTGCCTGTACATCACACATATCCATTCAAAAGGCCAGCCTTCTCTCCCTACCTAGTTTAGTATCAAATTATGACTTAAAGGTTATTTGATTCTTTTTTTCAATTCAGAGTTTAAAGTAAACATTTATGGTTTGAGCTTAAATCTATTAAATGGTAATTAAATTAGCTGGTGTAGAAAATACGGTATTTTATGATTTGATAGCAAATTAACTTATATGAAGTTGAGTCATACAATTTTGAAACATCTTTATACCATTTCAATATTAAATAGTATTTAGATTATGGTTGTGCTCGGTGGTTTATGCCTCTAATCTCAGCATTTTGGGAGGCCAAGGTGGCAGGACTGCTTGAGGTGAGGAGTTCAAGGACAGCCTGGGCAATGTCTTTATCTCAGCACATGCCTTTAATCTCAGCTACTTGGGAGACTGAGGCAGGAGGATCGCTAGAGCCCAGGAGTTTGAGGTTAACAGTGAGCCGTGATGGCTCCACTGCACTCCAGCCTGGGCAACAGTGAGACCCTGTCTCTTAAAAAAAAAATAAAATTATTGAAATAGTGCCCAGATTATAGTCACCTTAGTATTTGTTTTATATTAAAATTATTTGTTTTATATGTGCAAAAAGTTTATCTCAATCCTGGACCATTATGACACTTTTTTTTTTTTTTTTTTTTTTTTTGAGACGGAGTCTCGCTCTGTCGCCCAGGCTGGAGTGCAGTGGCCAGATCTCAGCTCACTGCAAGCTCCGCCTCCTGGGTTCACGCCATTCTCCTGCCTCAGCCTCCCAAGTAGCTGGGACTACAGGCGCCCGCCACCTCGCCAGGCTAATTTTTTGTATTTTTTAGTAGAGACGGGGTTTCACCGTGTTAGCCAGCATGGTCTCGATCTCGTGACCTCGTGATCCACCCATCTTGGCCTCCCAAAGTGCTGGGATTACAGGCTTGAGCCACCGCGCCCTGCCGACACTTTTTTTTTTTTTAACAGCTCTCTGTCTACATGATTTTCCAGAGTAGTTTTTTCCAAAGTGTCATTTTCTTTTTTCTTTTTTTTTTTGAAAATCTCCCTCTGTCACCCAGGCTGGAGTACAGTGATACAATCTCGGCTCACTGCAGCCTCTGCCTCCTGGGTTCAAGCAAGTTTCCTGCTTTAGCTTCCCACATAACTGGGACTATAGGCATGTGCCATCATGCCCAGCTAATTTTTGTATTTTTTAGTAGAAACGGGGTTTCACTATGTTGACCAGGCTGGTCTCAAATTCCTGGCCTCAAGAGATCCATCTACCTCAAGCCTCCCAAAGTGCTGGGCTTACAGGCATAAGCCACCACGCCTGGCCCAAAGTGTAATTTTCTTTATTGCCCACTTTCTAAAACAAAACAAACAAAACAAAAACCCTTTAGTAATATTGTATCATACAGGGAATGAAAGTCAAACTCCTAAACCCAGCATTGACCATTCATGACACGCTCCGTTTCACACATCCGCCCCTCTCTCTTACCTTATGGTAACGTGCCACGAGTTTTCCTTCTGGATTATACACCACATTGGTATTGTATTGAAAGTAGCCATTGGGAGGACATGTGGAGTGACGGGAATTACATGGCTTTTTGTCCCCCAAATTTGCCAAGACATAGATAGAGTTGTTCTTGGCCAAGCAGCTGAGTCTTGCTTGCACTGGTGTGTGACCAAATCTAAATCAAATTATAATTAAGACATTTCAATTTTTAAAAAATATTTTAGTCACTTCATACAGAGACAATAGCAACTGTAACCACTTAAGTGGAACTTAAGTCAATACAAAAACTACGCATAAAAATATCCTACTTTAGGCCGGGCGCGGTGGCTCAAGCCTGTAATCCCAGCACTTTGGGAGGCCGAGACGGGCGGATCACGAGGTCAGGAGATCGAGACCATCCTGGTTAACATGGTGAAACCCCATCTCTACTAAAAAAAAAAAAATACAAAAAACTAGCCGGGCGAGGTGGCGGACGCCTGTAGTCCCAGCTACTCGGGAGGCTGAGGCAGGAGAATGGCGTGAACCCGGGAGGCGGAGCTTGCAGTGAGCTGAGATCCGGCCACTGCACTCCAGCCTGGGTGACAGCGCGAGACTCCGTCTCAAAAAAAAAAAAAAAAAAAAAATCCTACTTTAAAAGCCACAGATGATGACTTACACTTGATGAATACTTCCCACACCATATCTGTCGCTCCAGAAATTCATTACTCAGTCTCCTGCCTCATCAAGGGTCTCCTCGCTACTGAAACATCCCATCAGCATGAAATATCCTCTAGTACCTCCCATCTTTAAAAAATAAAATTAAAACCTCTTTTGACCATTCCAAACATGCCCTTCCAAATATTGCTTTAATCCTCAGCTCTCCCTTAAAGGAAAACTCCTCAAAAGATCAGTCCCTCTTGCCCGTTGCCAGTTCCTCCTCTCCCATTCTCTTTTAGAGCACTCCAACTTTTATCTCTATCACCCAAACTGTTACTAATGCCAGCAGTGACCCCCACATTTTACCTGATCTCATCTTGACTTTTCAACAGCAGTTGGCACAGTTAATTACACCTCCTTGCGGAAACACCTCACTTTATTGGACCCACCCTCTCATTTTCCTATTTATTGGTTGCCCTTCTTCGACTCTTCTGCTGGTTCCTCCTTTTCTCCTGAATCTAAACACTGGAATTTCCTAAGGCTCAATCCTCATACCTATACTCTTCGCTAACTCACTTCCACAGGGGAACTCATCACGGTGTTTGAAACCATCTATATGCTGACGTCTGATCTTCTATCTCCAGATATAATTTTGTCTTTTCATGCCAGACTTGTCTGTGCAACTGCCAGGTTGACGTCTCCAGGATGACAGTAGGACTTAGATTTTTAATATATATTAGAAGGTTTCTAGATAACCGTTTCCCAGGAAAATTAGCTTTGTGAGCCTAGGAAAACACAGTTTCAAAGCATAAGATCTTATGATTCACTTGAAAATACATGGTGAAATCTTTCTGCCTAGGAAGCAACTCTGGGATGGAGAGACTCTATGACACTGAAAGGGTGTCCCCTCAGCAGAGGCCTTGGAATGTATTCCTAACACAATCCACTGTCTACTTCAGAAATTAAGTTGCTACTTGTATCTATGAGATCCTCTTCCCTTAGTTTTTCTTGCAGTAATACCCTATTTACATATTTTCTCAAAATTTAATAAAGATTTTTAATCACAAACGATTATTAAATAGTATCTAAGTTTTTAAAATCTGACAAATATTGAGATAAATATAACCATAACATATACCACACATATAGGATAATTCAAGAGCAATCATTTTGCTTTGTGAACATCCACGTTTTAGAGAGTTACTTTTGCACAAAAGACTAAGATAGTTAAAATACCTGTGGGAGTCTTGACAAGGAATCCAGTTCACCTGAGGGTCTGGGATATCCTCCAGATAAGGGAAAATAGTTTCCCTGGTAAATTCCCATCCATAAAGTGCATCTTCTGGAGTCACAATGATTCGAGCACCCTGTTCACAACAAGTGAAATAAAAATGATTTTTCCATGTACAACACGGACAATTCAACCCTCTCATCTTCCACCAGTTCCCGTGCCCCTCGCATACATTATGATTAGCAGAAATAAGAGAATACCTGCTCGGCTGCCTGCTTGATCGCTCTCTCAAGAATGTCTATATTCTTGTTCATGAGATTCAAGGCATCCTCCTGAGAAACAGGTGTTTTTGTTCTATTTGGCAAAATGACAGCATGTTCATACACTGCAGCTATAAAACTGTCCTCAGTACCAACCTGCAGGGTTATTAGGGCAAAAACTGCCACAAAGGTTGGAAAAGAGGAAGTGACCATGGCTAAGGTTTAGTGATTTCTGAAAGTAAAAATAACATTCACATAGTATTTATAGAGGGAAGAATGTTTGCATAACATGGGGCTGCCAGTTACTGGCCTTTTACTCTTATCATCTTTTTTTTTTTTTTTTTTTTTTTTTTTTTTTGAGGCAGAGTTTGCTCTGTCGCCTAGGCTGGAGTGTAGTGGAGCAATCTCAGCTCACTGTAACCTCCGCCTCCCAGGTTCAAGTGATTGTCCTTCCTCAGTCTCCCAAGCAGCTAGGACTGTAGGCGCACACCACCACACCCAGCTAATTTTTGTATGTTTAGTAGAGACGGGGCTTCACCATTTTGGCCAGGTTGGTCTCGAACTCCTGACCTCGTGGTCCATCCATCTCGGCCTCCCAAAGTGCTGGGATTATAGGCGTGAGCCACCGCACCTGGCCTAATTTATAATCTTAAAGAACACAATATGTCTGACCACTTTTAAAGAAGAAAAATTGCAGTTCATTTAAGACAATCAGAAAGTATTACAGGGATTGAACAGCACGTACTATTAAGATTTAATATTGAATTTCCAAAAGACACCCGAATTCAAATATAGAACAATTCCAGCTTTTATTAGTAGAAACTCATAACTAAATTAACTCTCATGTAAAAAAATCACATCACAACAAATATCTCGTTTATTAAATTTAAAAATTGACAACAATTTTTTTGGTTCTGTTGAGTCACTAACATCGTGTTTATTTTTAGATGAGGGGGAAAAAATTAAATACTTACTACTAAGAAAATGTATCACAGAACAATATTGAGAACAAAATTTACCCAAATCTATACTCTGACTTACTTATTGCTGTTAAGGACTGAAAACATGCGCTCCAGAAAAGCAGGATTTTGTGTCTGGTTTGTTCATTGCTGTATAGTTAGTGCCTATAGCACCAATACCCCCAGGCACCTAGGCCAGAGGAGGACTCTCTGCTCAGGGGCCCCAGACCTCAGGAGACTCTGCTTCTTTCCTTCTTTCTCTCTTTCACCCTTCCCTCCCCCTCCTCCCCCTACTCCTCCTCCTCCTCTTCCTCCTTCTTCTTCCTCCCTCCCCACCCACTGCTTTGAAGGAAGATACAACGGAAGGGGAAGTGTCCAGGACTGATGATAAAGATCATCTGAGTTGTAATAAAGAGAAGATGTAACTTTCATTTTTGTTAGCAGCAAATAATAACAATGAGTTTAAAAACAATTCTAACAGGTCAGATGCGGTGGCTCACGCCTGTAATCCCAGCACTTTGGGAGGCCGAGGCAGGCAGATCACCTGAGGTCAGGAGTTCAAGACCAGCCTGGCCAACATAGTGAAACCCTGTCTCTACTGAAAACACAGAAAGTAGCTGGACGTGGTGGTGGGTGCCTGTAATCCCAGCTACTTGGGAGGCTGAGGCAGGAGAATTGCTGGAACCCGGGAGGCAGAAGTTGCAGTGAGCTGAGATCACACCATTGCGCTCCAGAAAAAAACCTTAACAACAAATACAGGATGTGATCTTGGATGCCTTCTTAGGACATCAGTATTCTCCCTTCCCCAGGCCCAATCCTACCAGATAAAGGGTTTGTTTTGTGTTTATCCAGTCCTTTGGTAAAAGTTACAGAAATGCTTTTAGACAGCATAGAAGAGTCGGTAGAAATAAACAAAGTTTATTCTGTGCTTTACTTCATACTGAGGTAAATTCTTTGTTAAGAATGGGGCCTAGGGGCTATAAATAAGATCTGCTCATATTTTCTGCTTTGAATAGAAGTTTCTATTAAAGGAATAACTTTTCTTATCTCTATAGAGCAGAAAACTAAAAATAATTTCAGGAAAAATGGTCAAGCCCTTTTGTGGAAAATGCAAAGGGATAGATATTTTTATGAATTTTTAGCAGATTGTATAACAGACTTAGTATACAACCATACTACATAGTGTATATATAATTAGTAAATTAGCATAGGTGATTGGTATATAATAGATTATGAGTGCCATTAGAGTTTAGAAATCATGTAACCCAAATGCCCACTTATTACAGGATAGCAATCTGAGGCATAGAGAGCTAGAGTGACAGAGCAGGATGTGCCGCTTCTCATTCCTGATTCCAGAGTCTTTCCTTTATACCCAAAACAGCACACGTGTCTATGCTCTGTTTTAATGTCTGCAACTGAGTGTCTGAACACTCGTGTCTTTGGGGTTATTTTTTGGCGTTTTTTTTGTTTGTTTGTTTTGAGACAGAGCCTTGCTCTGTTGCTCAGGCTGGAGTGCAGTGGTATGATCATGATTCACTTCAGCCTCCACCTCCTGGACTCAAGTGAGTCCACCTCAGCCTTCTTAGCAGCTGGAACGCCAGGTATGCACCGACATGTCAGGTTAATTTTTGTTATTTTTTGTAGAGAGGGAGTTTTACCATGTTGCCCAGGCTTGTTTCAAACTCCTGGGCTCAAGCAATCCACCCACTTTGGCTTCCGTGGCTTCCGAAAGTGGTGAGATTATAGGTGTGAGCCACCGAAGCCAGCCACTCATGTCTTTTAAAGAACCCAATTCAAAATGATCACCTTAGGAAGACGATAGGCAAATGTGCTAAGTGCTAAAGAAATTTCTGATGCAGTGGATGCCTAATAAAAACAACAAAGCTCTTCCATCTCCATAAGTACAATTTTGGCCATGACCTACCTTCATTGATCTAGTATCACCAATTAGTAATAGTTCTTTATCTCTTTTGCTTGGAAGTAGTCAGGTAAGCTGATGAGGAGGAGTTAACAGCTTTAAAATTTTGGCAGTAGAAGTGGGGACAATCATATCTGTTATTGTGTTCCCAAATCTGGATGTTTTTCTCTGTCCTTGGCTGTAAAAGATAGAAATGATGTTGATTAGAGTTTTGTTTTTTTGTTTATTTGTTTGTTTGGCTAACAGGGAAAGGGAAAATCACTTCTGATATAAAATCAAGATGACCAAATTCCCTCCTTTGTTTTTTTATTTGCAGCATCTAAAAATTGTCTCATAGAAACTGAGAATCTGAGTAACAAAGGTAATTGCAAAAAAGAATCAGAAGTTAGTAAATTAAGGAGCAATTTAAATATAGGAAAATCCCTGAAATGTAAAGAAAACATTTGCCATAGAGGTCATTGATGTTGTTTTAAATCTTCAGAAGTAAAAAACCAAATTCAGGACATACAATTTCAAGAGTTGACTTTTCATAAAGATGATTGATCAGATAAGGCTTAACATTTTTAGTTTAACTGAGTTATAAATTAAAGTAAGGTTATTTTTGCCATAGGGAACATTGATTAATTGTAATTTACTGCTAAAAGAGCCTGCTTCATAATTTGTCATTTTGTGATTAACGAACTTAGCTAAAAGGGTAAAAAGTTAAAATCAATTAAAAATTATTTGGTCAATGAGTCACTATAAAAAACAGTAACTGGGTGGGCGCAGTGGCTCATGGCTGTAATCCCAGCACTTTGGGAGGCCGAGACGGGTGAATCATTTGAGGTCAGGAGTTTTGAGTCCAGCCTGTCTGACATGGTGAAACCCAGTCTCTACTAAAAATATAAAAACTAGCTGGGCATGGTGGCAGATACCTGTGATCCCAGCTACTCGGGAGGCTGAGGTGGGAGAATTGCTTGAACCCAGGAGGCGGAGGTGGCAGTGAGCTGAGATCACGCCATTGCACTCCAGCCTGGGTGACAGAGTGAGACTCTGTCTCAAAAATAAAGAACAAACAAACAAATGAAAAACAGTAATAGCTCAAATATTTGTTTCTAATTGTGAATCTGATCATCTGTTAGAATAATATTCAATTGGGCTAGGTTTTAAGTCTGTAATTTTAAAAACCTCATTTTTTCCCCACTTTCTCAAGAGTAAGTATAGAGGTGTAGTTTCCGCTTTGCACCACTTCTTTGGACCTCTATTTCTCATCTAAACATTTAGGTAATCATACCTGCTCTATCTCCTAAAGATGCATGAAAGTCCTCTGTAAGACTATGATGCAGATCACAATAATTAACAAAAGTGAGTGACTATTTAGTAATATAATATCCTGACCTCTTAATATTATTTCATTGTTAGACCCACAGAACTACTGTTGTTCAATTAAAATTCTAGTCTATTTGGATGACCCTGCTGAAGAACTGCTGGAATGAAATGGGGTTGACAGGGTACCTGCATCAACTCCTGATTCATGCTAAACCCAGTGTGGTAGAAGAACCGCAGTGGGGTAGCACAGGCGAAACAAGAAAACCAAGGAACTCAACCCCAGGAAGGAGAGGAGCTGCTCCAGGCTCTGACACTGGCTGCTGGACTTCCTGTTCTATCCCTTCTCCTGGATGCAAAATGACGAGTGAACTGAGAAACAAAGAGTGGGAAATAGCATGTATCATTATCAATGACATTCTCATAGGCAGCAAGGGTGATGTGTCAAAATAAGAATAAGAAGCAATAAGAGACAGAAAAGCCAGGCTCCAATGTTAAAACTGTTTCTCTTAATATCGTATACCAAAAAAGTACAATACTGTATCCAAAAAAAGTACTTAATGGCAAAGAAAAAAGTTTCCGTCCCTACACCATTAGAGTATTGCATATGGCTTTAGCGAGACTGAGTCAGCCCCTGTAAAAGGAAAGGTCGGCTTGAAGAGAACTAGCTTGCATTTTAGCCATCTTTGGGGGCCAGGTCTCATTCAGATGAGGTAATCCTCCAGCTTTAGAGTTGGGTGGGTGTTCAGTGCTTCAGATAGCTAACGAACACTGCTGAAATCAAGAGAAAATCTGAGAGGGTAATGATATATCACAGCCTTGGATTCTCTGAAAGCACTACTAGATGGAAATGCTTGTGCCACATGAAATTGCCAATCATCACTGCTTTCGACCTAGCAAAAGTAATTGCACATGGTTCAACCAACATGTCTGTTTTCCTCTCTCAGAAACTTAGGGCTGAAGTTGCAGAAGTCCCTTTGAGTTAGTAACATCCTCCCCTACCTTCCGACAGCTCCTGCTTCCTTAAAATAAAATATTAACAATATTAATATCATAGTTCTACCCACTATGCCAGTCTATTAACTCTGCCAAAAGTTTCTTGCATTCACCAGCAGGTCCTTTTAAAAAAATCAAAAATTCTCTTGATTGAATTAAAAGCTTTTGGTAAAGTCGGGATGACTGTCACCATGGAGATACATCCACAGGAACTGGATCCAAGTCACTTGTTGATTTATGTAGGCAGTTGGAGAGACATGCGTTTGAAAGGGTATGGTACGAAAGTAACATGGAAATCTCAGACATGAAAAAAAAAAAGATAGATTAAAAATAGAAAAGTTTATATTTTATTGAGCAATATGAGAATGTCACAGCAATTCACCAATAATGCCCCTTGTTTATTTTCAAGTGAACAAGGAAGCAAAGAAAAATAATGTTTGCAACCCAAGATAACTACTTACAGCTTTAGTCAAGGGAGAGCCTTCCACTCCTGTGGACCTCGGCTGCTTTCCTTTCCAAGGCCCCTGCTCCTCCAGTCACCCCTAGTGACTTCCTGTTTTGGTTTCACTTTCTGGGTGGGCTATACCCTCTGAGATGACAGAGAGGAGTCCCAGCAGTTGCTGGTTCAAGGATGCTGCATCTTCAGTCAGACGCCAGGAGAAGGAGTGTCTATTTTATTCTAGCCTGGCAATTCTGATTCCTGAGCTTTTCTTTCAAGGAGCTATATGGGCCAGATGACACAGGCCAAGAGCAATGACACAATTTCTACTGAACGAAGCTCAGCAGAAGAACCACAGCTATAGAATCAGGAGATTCTCTAGCCTATAAAGCCTAAGTTGACTCTTATATTCATGGCATAGTCTTTCTCTTTAGCACATTATTCTTGTACTGTAACGCAGATCCCACTCTAGACTGTCCTTCAAATTAGAGAGAACTAAATTGTGTATTATCCTGCATCTAGTTATGGTGAGTTTTTTTCTCACTGTAAGTTATAAGGGTCATGGTGGCATCTGATAATAATTAACATGGACATGGACTCTGGGGCCAGAATGGCTGGGATTAAGCCACTACCTAACTATGTGAGTATGAGCAAGTTTTGTGCCCTCTCTGTGCCTCAGTTTCCCCTATCTGCAAAATGGTGATATGTGCTGAATAATTTTTGCTGTTATTACTATTGCTTCATTCCTAGAAGATGGAGGCCCAATTACAAGGGCCATGCCCAAGGCAGCTCTGACCCAGATGTGGCTGACATACCTGCCTGCCCTTGGTTACTGTCTTGTTAAAAGAATGTCAATGCATCTACTACTTTATTTTTGCATTGTTCTGTCTGTCTCCACAAAGTCTTTCAAGTTTCCTCTCTTCCAGATCAACCTGATCTGAATGATTTTTCCTAAAATTATGAACTTAAATTCTGTTTCTACTTGCTAATCTTGATGGCATTCCCTCCAATCGTACCGTAGATTCTCTTTCCGATCAAAAGCTTTCACTCCACCTATTTCATGCACCATTCTATTTTTTAAAAAACACGCTCAACAACCTGCTATGTAACTGGATTACTCACACGTTGCTGTTGGGAATGTAGGGTGGTACAGCCACTCTAGAAAACAGCTTAGCAGCTCCCTGAAAAGTGAATCATGGCTCCACTCCTTTCCCGCGCTGGGTGGCAGCCAGGCAGGGAGGCAGGGCAAGATCATAGCACCTCCTTTACCCTCCTTATCCTTCCTCTGGGGATGCCTGACAGGACAGGAATTTAGAGGCCCCCAGTAGGGGAAGAAATTCTTTACGAGTTATTTCTTCAGTTTCTTATAAGCTAAACCATTAACCACAGTGACTACCTGCAAAAACAGAATAATGGAAGTCTGGCATTTGTCTGCATTTTTTAAACACCCCAAAATGTGAGTCTTATGCCATAGTTCTACTGAATGGAGTTTGTTTATATGGAAAGATCAATTCATGAACAATATCAAATTGGAAATTCTCACTCTTCTGAATCATCTCACCAAAGTTTTCAGTGCTGTGTTATAAGAAATTCCTACAGCTATATGAAAGAAGAAGCTGTGGGCAGATCTTAAGATAATTTAAGATATTAAAGATAAATTTAATAAATTTGTTATTAAGATAAATTCTTAATTCTCACAGTTATGTGAATGAAGAAGCTGTGGGCAGATCCTTCTTTCCCATGCAGTTCTTTCCAATTAATAGTGTTGCTTTACTACAATAATACTGTTTTTTCAGAAGATGCAGTAGCAAGCATACAATTCAATGCCGTAGTTCTCTTACTGCATATGATTGCCTACTTTCTAATTCACATCCCTGTCTCCCTCACTAAACCATGTTCCAGAACTACAGGCTGGACCTACCTCACTAACAACCAAGACACGAACAACCAAGCCATTCGCATTTTTATCAGATAAGTAAAATAAAGAGACAAAAGCCAACCAATAAATATGATGATAGAACAGAAAACAGTAGAAGAAAAAGCATAGCTAAAAGTTCTGAAAATATATGGAGAAGAAAAGGTATTAGTACTATTCTCAAACGAAAAATTTATCTACACTGGTTTTAATTATCTTAAAAGAAAAAAAAGAAACCTACCTGTATTTATGCAACAACTGATTTCATGGCTGTCATTTTTTTAATTTACAATAAGGTTAATTGACTGGTTTGGTACTCAATTTTTGTCTTGACTGATAAACACTTACAAATGATATACTGCTTTTTGTGTCTGGCATGCTATTGTTGACCTTTTGTCAACATGAAATACACTCTGAATTGTTTTAGTACTGATGATAAAATTGCACTGAACTACAAGTCAAAATTTGTTATGACATCATGTTTTCCTAGATGGTCCCTTGTAATACTCAACTATAAGTAAGCTGGGATTAGAAGTCCGGCTGTAGGTTTTCTAAAAGAAACTAGTGCAAATATTTAGGAGTTGCAAGCTGCTCTTAACAAAGACTGGCTGTGCGGACTTTAGTTTCCTTTGTTAATACTTTAAATAACATTTTAGCTTCTCCATGTAAATATGTTGTGTCTGAGCCTCCCCCTCCTGTGGGTTTGTTTCATAAAACAGGGTCATGTGACAGTGATACCAAAGAAAAGGTGAGTATCATGGGACTACCCTGTGGATAATTTCCTTCTGATATGAATGTGTAGAGATATTTCTCAATTATTAATTGCACTTAATGAAAATTAATTGGCTATGTAAGAATTTATCACCCACGTCTTTTCCAGCTAGGTTAGAGAGGGTATCTGTGACATATTTAAATCTTGATCATTAAAAAATAAGTAAATAGGTTTTTTTTTTTTTTCTTTTTTGAGACAGAGTCTTGCTCTGTCGCCCAGGCTGGAGTGTAGTGGCGTGATCTCCGGCTCACTGGAACCTCCTTCTCCCAGGTTCAAGTGATTCTCTAGCCTCAGCCTCCTGAGTAGCTGGGATTATAGGTGTGCGCCACCATGCCAGGCTAATTTTTGTATTTTTTGTAGAGACGGAGTTTCACCATGTTTGCCAGGCTGTTCCTGAACTCCTGACCTCGGGTGATCCGCCCACCTCGGCCTCCCAAAGTGCTGGGATTACAGGCATGAGCCACCATGCCCAGTCAGATATTTAACTAATGTATGATATTTAATATTTATTGTTAAAATCAAGTTTCTTGTCTAAAATAAATTAGTTGAAAACAAACAAACTAATCATGCAGTTATCATGCAACCCAGTAGTTGTATTGCTGGGCATTTATTCCAGGGAAATGAAGTCTTTTTTTTTTTTTTTTTTTTTTTTTTGAGACAGAACCTCTCGCTATCACCCAGGCTGGAGTGCAGTGGCGCGATCTCGGCTCACTGCAACCTCCGCCTCCCGGCTTCACGCCATGCTCCTGCCTCAGCCTCCCAAGTAGCTGGGACTACAGGTACCCTCTACCACGCCTGGCTAATGTTTGCATTTTTAGTAGAGACAGGGCTTCGTCGTGGTAGCCAGGATGGTCTCGATCTCCTGACCTCATGATCTGCCCACCTCAGCCTCCCAAAGTGCTGGGATTACAGGCGTGAGCCACCACGCCCGGTGAGAAATGAAGTCTTATGCTTGGTACCCCACCCTCTACCCTAGCCCCTGGCAAAAAAACCAAAAAACCTGTTTCTAAATGTTCATAGCAGCTTTATTTGTAACAAATAAAGTAGTATTCCATTGTGTCATATAGCCACCCAATGGAATACCACTCAGCAATTTAAAGAACTGAACTACTGATACATGCAACAATGCCAATAGAATCAAGGGCATTATGCTGACTGAAAAAAGTCAATCCAAAAAGTTCCATACAATACGATTTAATTTATACGTTTCTTAAAATGACCAGATGATAGAAATAGAGAATCGATTAGTGGCTGCCAG